CCAGTGTGTGGCCCTTCCTGCACGATCCTGCCGTGTGGAGCACAGCGCTCCATTAGCTCCAGCAAGCGGTGGGGAACTCTGTGCTCTGCAGTGCTTGAGTTTGCAAAATGCCTTCTGGGCCAGAAATTAGGAATCACACCAGCTGAGGCAGAAGTCTGGACTCTACCCCTGGTCTCTGTACACCTAAAGAGAGATGGGAAAGCAGAGAGGTCCACCCAAAGGCTGGTTTGTCACTGGCAAGGACCCACTGTGGTCCAGCAGCTAGAGACAGGCTTATCCATCACAGAAGCATCTCTTCAGGGACACTCTACAAGTCCATGCAGGGAGCTGAGATTTAAAACAAGTAAAGCCACTCTGGCTACGAGGAAGCTTGGAGTCTGATGAGAGAGCCGTGTGTGTGTGTGTGTGTGTGTGTGTGTGTGTGTGTGTGTGTGTGTGTGAATGTGTGTGTTGGGTATGAACATGTGGGGATGTGCATACACCCGTGCAGAGACTGTCTGCACCCCTCAGGTCTGAGTCTGGTTCTACAAGCAGACATTGAACAAGCGCTGGGCTTTGCAAAGCGATGATGATGCAGATGATGATGGCGCACTCTCACAACAGCCTGTAGAGGGCGCCATGGAGACTGTGTGCCTGCCAAGCCTTAAACCACAGATGGCTGTAGAAATAGGGTGGGTGTGTACAGTACAGCCGTTCCCTGAAGAAGAAATGTTTTCCTTTTCTTTTAAGACATATTTTATTTGCATGTGTGTGATTGCAGGTGCCACAGAGGACAGAAGAGGGCATCAGAGCCCCTGGAACTGGAGTTACAGGTTATGAGCCTTCTGGTGGGTGCAGACAACAAGACTGAGTCCGTCTTCTGCAAGAGTTGTTAACTGCTGAGTCATCTCTCCAGCCCTCCTTTTAAAAGAGAGAGAGAGAGAGAGAGAGAGAGAGAGAGAGAGAGAGAGAGAGAGAGAGAAGCATTACATTTTTAAGAAGACCTTTTGGTGGCTCAAAGGCAAAGGAAAGGTTTGTTTCTAAATAAACCTGAGGAAGACCCCATAGAGAAGGTGACAGAGTGACTCTCTCTTACAAGCTGTGGATTTTATCAGAGCTGAGGAAGAGTCTGAGGACCAGTTTGACCTGGTAGTGCTAAGGGTTAAACCAGACTGATGTGCAGGAATGGTGCTAAGAGTGTTGGCTTAGGAAGCAGAAAGCACGGCCACAGGGAGGAGGAGACTGTCTGCAGTGTCCACACCACAGGGAGGAGGAGACTGTGCAGTGTCCACACCGGAGGGAAGGGGGCTGGGTGGCTTGCTTCCCAGTGGTCTTGTTGACTCCACAGTCATTTGTTTGTTTCTGCGGGTGTGCATACTCAGACCGGTGTGTCACAAAGCATATATGGCGGGCGGAGGACAACTTTCCTTCTACCATGTGTGTTCCCTGTCATCAGGCTTGACAGTACTCATCTTTACCATCTGCGTCACCTCTCCGGCCCGTTTTGATCCCCTTTATCTTTTCTTTTGTTTCTCTGTGTTGTTCTAATTGTTTTCTATTGCTGTGATAAAACACCGTGGCTAAAACCAAACTGGAGAGGAAGGAATTTGCTTTGTCTTACAGCTCCCAAGTCATCTGTCACCGAGGGAAGCCAGGGCAGATTGGAGAGAGAGCATATAGGAGCAGTGCTCACTGGAGCACCGCTCACTGGAGCACCTCTCACTGGCTGCTCCTGACCTGTTCAGCTACCTTCCTTATATAACCAGGCTCACCTGTCTAGGGATGGCACTGCCCACAGTGGGCTGGGCCCTCCTTATCAATCAGCTGTCAAGAAAATGTCCCACAGCTATGCCCTCAGTTCTTTTTTCTTTTTAATGTGCATTGGTGTTTTGCCTGCATGTATGTCTGTGTGAGGGTGTCAGATCTTGAAGTTACAGACAGGCTTGAGCTGCCATGTGGGTGCTTGGAATTGAACATTCTGGGTCCTCTGGAAGAGCAGTCAGTGTTCTTATCCGCTGAGCCATCTCTCCAGCCCCTAACTGTAGCTGTTCTTATGCCACCTTATGAGAAGACCAAGGTACTTGTCCAAGGTCACACCCTGCTAGACACAGGTTCATGGCTGGACACAAAGCCTGGAAGTCAGATAATCCGTAAGTGCCTCCTTACCCCATCGCTGTCATCTCAAGGAAGCACTGCCTGTTCAAACGTCTTTAACGTCCCATCAGCAGACAGAAAGGATGGCTTGTATGTCACAGGGCTATGGTATCCTAGTAGGACAATACGCATGTAAATGCCAGCCAATGCCAGGCTCACCGACAAACCTCAGCAAATACTATTAGGCTTGCGAGTGGCTGGAGTAAGCTTAGAATCCAAGTGGGATTTTCTCTCCTGCTAGAGATCTGTATTCCCTGGTTCACTTGTATTTGCAGATGTGTTTTGTGTGGCTAGCTGAGTTCCACAATAGGTAGCCCCTCCCCCTCTACAATAGTTAGCCCTGCCCCCTTAAGTTCTACTGACCTTGAGAGTTGAGGGTTTGTTTTGTTTTAGATTTGTGTGTGTTGTTGTTGTTGTTGTTTGTCTTGTTTTGGTTTGTCTCTCAGCAGATAATCCTCAGTGCCTCCCAAACAAAGCCTGGGTAGCATTTTCCAGTATGGATAGCTAACCTAAACCACATCACTAGCCCACATTTCAGTCCCCACCCCTCCTCAAATAGGCTGCCTGCTTGGGGAAGCCCAGATGTGTAGGAGGTTAAGCCTCAGATTCACAAAAACAAGAGAAAAGCGTCGACACCCTGTGTAAGATTTGGCACAGAGCTTGGACGGGCATTTTTTCCCCTGTCACTAATCATGGGAGAGATGCAAATAAAGACACAATGAGTCACTGTTCCACACCTTTGGGGTGGCTGCGGTCAAGAACAACAGAAGAATCAGAAAGAAACAGACATGGGGAGCAGAGTAGAGAAAGCTGAGTTTCTTGAGCACTACCAATAGGCAATAAAAATGGCATGGCCACCAGGAGGGCAGAAGGGCAGTTCCACAAAAGAATGAATGAATCAAGACAGAATGACCATGCAATCCAGAAATTCTACTTCCGGAATATACCCTAAAGAACAGCAAGCAAGGACTTTGAACAGATATCCGTATGTCAACATTCCCAGCCGCCTTAGTCACAGTAGCCCAAAGGTGGTGACAGCTAAAATGACCATCAGGCACATGAGTAAAGGAAACGGGTAAAGAGCACACAGTGAAATAGTATTCGGTCACCAAAAGGGAGGAGGTTCTGAAGCAGGTAACACGGACGAGGATGAACCTTGGGGACACTGAGTGAAATGAGCCAGACACCCAGGACACATGCTGAGAGTGAAGTTCCCGCAGAGATTCAGAGCACTTAGACTCTTACAGACAGAAATCAGCATCCAGGGGAAAGGGCAAGGGACCTGGGAGCTGAGGCCTAGCTGCTGCTACAGGCGGGTGGGGGACACAATCTCCCCAGGCCAGGCCCACTAGGCAGGGAACTAGACACACCTGGAGGACGGGAACCTGGGAGCTGGGGAAGCTGGCTGATGGTATCCTGATTCTACAGTCTGCGGGAAGCTGGCTTTGTGCAGAGGATGGGAGAAGCCGGGTCGAAGGTCACCACGTGGCCTATTTCCAGGGTGACCAGAGGGTCCCTGGGTGACTGTTCTCCTGAAGAAGAAGCTGCCTGGGGGGAATTGCTAGGCCAGAGAGGGCCCTGGTCCAGAATGAATGCCTCTCTCTAAATGGCTTAGCGAGAACAGCTTGATGAAGAGTCTGTTTGCCAAAGGATGGGCCGCACCAAGAGAGCGAAGAGGGGCCTGTGTCCAGGGACTGCGCCCACCGCTAGTACAAAACCATGGCCTTTGGCGAAGATAATTCAGAAGGAAGGGAACTGGGGGAGGAGGGTTACCCAGACTTCACCTCCCACCAGCCAAGTTACTCAAGCAAAGCCCATCAGACCAGCCTCTACCACCAGGACTGTGGAAAAGATGGGCCAGGAAGTCAGAAAGGCAATGGAGGAGTTTCCAGAGGGAATCAAAATGAATCTATCTGCAAGGCCTGACTGGACTGAGAACCCTCCCCTGAGAAATTCTTTGGCTGATCTGGAACTATGGGTTCCGGGAAGGGGCCTGGAGGGGAAGGTGACTGGGAGAACACTGACCTGCAGCCTGAACTACCAGTCCATACTGTTAAGTGTGTATGGTCATTCATTCATTCCTTCATTCAGCCAGCATCTGTCAGTTACCGAGTGCCCAGCCAATGCTAGAAGGTGCTAGGTGAGAAAAAGAATGTGGAACCACTTGTAGCTTTGATTTGCTCAGTTAGTGTGGAGCAACCATGGGTTCAACCCACCTGCTCCATGAACCTGGCGGTTGTTCTCAGTTAGGTCCTCTGTAAAAGGCAATTAATTGTCGTCCCCCATTCCCGGGTGTGGTGAGACTTTAACTGGGCGTCTGTGAAAAGGTCAAGGCACAGGGTCAGGTGTGGAGGTCAGGAGCTCGCTACCTACCCAGCACCCCTATTTTGGCTCACATTCGCTGCCCTTAGCAGGGCCGCGAGGGCATTTTTGCAGTTTTCTCTCCATGTCACAGACAGTGAACCCAGGAGACCTAGTCACTGCTGCTTCTCCCCTGAATCCCCAGACTTGGGGGGGGGGGGCAACCGGATTTATAGCGACTGGAACACTCGCGGTTCACGGACACCGAGGTGGGTGGGCAACCACCCTGAGTTCATTTCGGGGTTGGAAAGCCTCAGCAGGGTGCTTAGATACTTGGGCTTAAGGGTCGCCAGGCCCGAACGCGGGGGGGGGGGGGGGGGGGGGGGGGGGGGGGGGGGGGGGGGGGGGGGGGGGGGGGGGGGGGGGGGGGGGGGGGGGGGGGGCGGGGCGCGTCGTCCCGCCGAGCTTAGGGACAAAGGCCCGCGGGCGGACGTGGCCGGGCCGGGCGGGCCCTTTAAGCGGGGTGGGCGGGCGGCGCGGGGGCGGGCAGGGGCGGGGCGCGGAGGGCGGCGGCGGCGGCAGCAGCGGTTAGAGCTCGGCGACTCGGATCGCTTCGGCCCGGTCCGGCCCGCACGGCGCTGGGCGCGGAAAACGGCCATGCCGCCGCGGCGCAGCATCGTGGAGGTGAAGGTGCTGGACGTGCAGAAGCGGCGCGTGCCCAACAAGCATTATGTGAGTCTGCGCCCGCGCCACGCGGCGACCCCAGCCCCGCGCAGAACTTGTGCCCCGCGCCCTCCCTGCCGTCTGTCTCCCCCACGCGCCCCTGGTCCCCGCTCCCTCCCCACCATCTCCCCGCGCGTCCCGGGCCCCCGCGCCCTCCCCGCCATCTCTTCGTGAGCCCCCGCCCTGCCCACCCGTGCAAAAGTCTGGCCACAGCCGCTGCTGGAGACGCAGACAAACCAGGAGAGAGACCCAGCCTCATGGTACCAGCCAACCAAGCCCCTCGTCCTTCTGGGCATGGGTCATTTGAGTGCCCCTCTCCAGTAACTTCCGTTTAACAATGTGGTAAAGTTTCCCCAGGAGTACCCCCTTCTGTGAAATGAGAATTTTGTTTGGAGCTGGCAAGGCATGGAGGAAATGGGTCTCTGGCGTCATTTTGCAGATGGGAAGGCTGAGGGTTCTAGAACGTGGACCCTGGGCCCGGCCCACGGTGACCCTCAGGTGGGAAGTGGCGTCCAGGGCTGCTTAGGGACCTTGTCTGCGATTGAGGTGGCCAAGGTTCCACCTCAAAGATTCTGGGTCGTAGGACAGTGGATCCAGAGGAGGCCCTGGGGACTTCAAGAGTGAAGGGGGATGGTGTCCCTGCCTGGAAGAAGCTGGCTGTGGCAGCCTTGGAGAAGTTAACCGGGAAGGAAAAAAGCAAGAGGGAGGGAAAAAAATTCTAACAAAGAAGTGTGGAACAATGACTAGAAAAGGGCGTTGGCTGGAGAAAGGCTGGCCAGGGGCCTCCCTGGAAGCCCCTTTCGGGTCTATTTGTTTAAGAGAGTCATTCTTACAAAGCAGACAGATATACATGCCTTCCATAAGTCGCTCATAAAATTCTGGAAGGAGATGGCCGGGAATCCACTGCACTCTACAAGAAAGGGTGTGCTGTGTTCCCATGTATTGTTATTGGCTAAGCATTCAGTTACTCAGTCCTGGGCCAGCCAGCGGGGGCTGCTTCCTGGACCTGTGGTATCTTTAAATAGAGCTAAGTTTTCCCTGCTTCAGAGTTCAGCTAAATTGTCTTGATTTCCCCATACCCCACCCCTTTTTTTCCCCTTAACTGTTTAGAATGCTGCCAAATCTTGGTTTCTTGTTGGAGCCTGTTGAGTTGCCTCTTGGGTATGGGACAGTTTTCAGTAACACACCAACTGGAGGAAGTCTGGAATCCTCTATGCCGCCTGCCACCAGATCTGTGAACCCCCCAGATCTGTGAGCCCGCCAGAACAGAATAGCTACAGCCACCGAGGGTTGGCATCATCGTCCTGTCTTGTGCTCTCACACACCTGTAGTGGTGGTTTTCTCGAGTCCTTTTCACAGACGAGAAAACTAACGGTCGGGAACAGAGCAGGTGTGTAAGTCCAGGCCTGCTGGACCAAAAATGTAACCACGCCTCTTCTCAGACCCCATATGCCCACAGAGACCCTGCACAAAGTCCTCTCAAAAACTGGGAATTCACTCAGGCCCACACCTCCCTGCCAGCGATTTGAAGCTTTGAGGGGTACCCTCGAACTTCCAACCAGTTATTAGGGGCCCACTGAGCCAGGTCTATGTTGCAGCCTGCTGTGGGCTCAGCTCTTAGATTCCCAGGTTGCTGCTACTTCCTGAAGTCTGTGTCCTCATCTGAAAGATGGGATGGTGATGTCCCCTCCCAGTGGGGGCAGTCATGTGACCAACACGAGGTTCCTTAACTGTAGCCCCGTAGTGACCGTGTCTCTCTGATTGGAAACGTGCTGAAGTCATGCGGGAGCTTGTTCCGAGAACTTGTTCCTCTGAATGCCGGCTTAGTCACTGCTGTGGCAAGGGGCCTTCTCTCTGCCGTCCAGCCTTTGATTCCCCAGAGGAGGAAGGGGGTGGGGCTGGATGCACCTTGAGTCATCCAGACCAGGGGATAATTTGGCGCTATGGTGTCAGGGTCCCAAAGCCAGCAGCAGCAGACTGGACTGTGTCACCTGTCCCCCGGCTCCACACACTGAAAGGGGTGGATCTGGAAAGAGGTGTTGGCAGCCTGGCTGAAGTAACCTCGCTTCCGCCCTCCATGCAGCAGCTCCCCTTTCCTCAGTTGTGGCAACCAAAAATATGGCCAGGTATTGAGTGTCCCATATCCCTTTGGGACCCATCTTAGTCTGTTTGTTATTGTATAACCAAGCACCTGAGGTGCAGTACTTTACTTTGTAAAGTAAAGAGGTTTATTTAGCTGCCTGGGGAGCTGGACGTCCAAGCTGGGGCTCCCTCATCAGTTTGGCCCCTGGACTTCTTGTCTACCTCACAGAGTTGTAGGTGGCATCATGATGGGATTTGTATATTTAGAGAGATTGTATGGTGAGACTGGAAACCAGGAACGAGGGGAGGAGCCGCTATGTTCCTTTGTAACAACCAGCCCTTTGGGAACTGAGGTCCTAGGAGGACTATCTTAATCTCATTTAAGGCCATGCACCCAATGACCTAACTACCTCTCCCTAGGCTCCGCCCCTTAGATCCCACCATTTCTCATGTCACCACACTGGAGATCAAGCTCCCAACACAAAACTCTTGGATGTGGACAGACCATATCTGGATGTTAACAGGGGTGTCATCATGTACTCTTGCCCCTGTCACAGCACCCACAGAGCAACATACATATCAGTTTGGTGTGGCCTGGCTGCCATGTCCCTCTGATTTCATGCCTCGAAGGATCAGAGGCTCTGAGGCCGCAATTAGACAACAATGCCTGGGGCTCAGGCCCCCTCTCTACCTCCATGTCAGGTTAGCAGCCTCTCCACAAAGGCCACCTTCACCTGTGGACAAGGCCGATGTCACTGTGTGTAGCCCCTGCTATGCTTGTTTACTCAGAGTCTGGGCTTCAGAGCGAATGAAGGAGGCTTCTCAGAGTGAGATACTGTGGCCACCGTCTTTACTAGAGTGTCTTCTACCAACCTGTGGGCTCTGGGGGGCGTGTTGCGATCCCCTCCCGTGATAGTACACACGGGTCAAGTACCCCCACAGCAGTACTGACCAGGGTGGAACCCTGGTGTGGGTTTCGAGGTCATGACAGCTCTTTGAGGGTGGTAGACTCCCATCGTGTGACTTCAGTGTCTCAGGGGCACAGAGGGAACAAAGCCCACCCTGTCCATAGACTCCTGTCTCTGCCAGGTTCTTCATTCGTCTCAAATCCTCTCTGTCTTTTTATTTAAAATAAGCACAGAGACAGAGCCCCCACGTGCCCTTCTGGTCACTTCTTTTCCCCAAACTACTGCCCTGTGTCTGTTATTTGTCATCTCCATGAACTTCTCAGTTGGTAGCCCAAGCTGGCCTGGAACTAACCATGTAGACCAGGCTGGCCTGGAACTCACAGAAATCCTCCTGCTTTTGCCCTCTGAGTGCTGGAATTAAAGTCTGCCATGCCTGGCCCCCACTTACTTTTAAAATACAGGTCCACTGGCTGGCGAGGTGGCTCAGTGTTTGAGAGACTTGCTGCCCTTGAGGTGACCCATTGTAACCATAGAGGTCACTGGCATGTGTCGTAACTGTATAAGTCTGAATAGCCATCACCCCTGTCCGGTTTTACAACATTTCTGTCACCCCGTTTGCCATCAGTATCCCCTCCGTGCCCTTTACATGTTTACCTGCTAGCCCATCAATCTTGTGTTTGATGCTTTGAAGCTATAAAAATCTTGCCCTGCTCAGATCTGTGTTAATTCAGAAGCCCCAGTTCATTTTAACCACTGCATATTACTCCATTTGTGGCTGTTTCTCTCCCTCCTCGAGGTCCTCTCCTGGGGACCCAGGGCTGTTCTTCCCAGCAGTTGGAGCTGTTCCTGTGTCTAGTCCCAGCGCCAGAACTCTGCTGGGTCTTATGTTCAGCCCTGCGTGTCACTGCAGGAGCCACGTCCCTGGGTTCCCTCTGCTCTGGTCCTCGTTCAGTTGACGTCAGTCTGCTTGCTGCACAGTAGGGTCCCGGGATGCTGCTCCTTAGCCTTTCCCTGCCTGCTAATGAGGCTAAGTGGCCTTTTGTGCCTTCATTGGCCAGCTGAGATCCCTCCTCTGTGAATTGCCTGTTTATCCTTGCTGCTGGCTCGGTCTGTTTTGCCTTTCATCTCTTGATGTGAAAGGTTTATACGTCCGGGATACTAATCTTGCAGGTGGTTAGATTAATGTTCTCAGTTTCCCTTCGAGGAGATCATAGACTCAGAGAATCCAAAGTGTGTGTGTGTGAGGTCACTCAGCAGGGAGAGACGGCATGAGAACTGAGCTAGGTGTGTTTGTCTAGGAGATAGAGGTAGCCTTGGGATCCCCACCACAAATCAGGGGGCTCACTGTTGCCACCTCTTCTGAGATGCCAGGGTCATCCTAGGTTCTTCTCTCTTCCCCATGCAAGTTACCAGTTCTTGTCACTTACTCCAGAGGAACTCTGAGTGGATCATCCTCATAGAGCAAGAGATTGTCAGGGTGTCCCTTCCTTAACTGATCAGGTACCAGGAACCTGGGAGTGACGGTTGCTGCCGAGGCAGTGTGGATCCTGCCTGTGCTCTGTGAAGCAGGAGCTGTCTTCTGTGCTGTGTGGCAGTCCCCAGAGCTGAGCTGTGGAGTGTAGATCTGCTGCCGTCCATGCATATCCACAGCCACCGCCCTCCTCTGCCGCCCCTTTTATGGAAACCCTCAAAGCAGGGCAGCCAGTGGGAATGTTAGAGACAAAGTAGCCTGGATGCAACAAGTTCTTTGTGGCAGTAGGGCCGCCCCGCCCAACTTTGGCTCCTGGCTTTGTGAGCAAAGTGGTGCCTCCTGAGAAGATAGTGAGAGAATTCGAAGGTGCTAGAATTCTGCTGGAGAAAACTGCCAGCGACTAGCACATTTCTTCCCGGCTTACCTCTGCCGTGTGGTGGCAAAGCCTGGTTTTGGTTCTCATCACTGCTGAGCCAGGAGGCCTGCCAGTGGCACTTCCCAGGGTGTCTGAATGACATGGATTTAAATGCTGATCCTCAGTGCTGAGC